CTACTAGGAAGAAAATTAACTCTATCCCAGCTGAAACCAGGACATTGTAGCGGCGTGCAGCCCCCTCTTAACGGGGAGTCGCTCTCAGCAGCCCCACTGCGGGGCTGGCCGGCCTGGGCCGGGCGGTGGCCAGGTGGGTCATCTCCTCCCTCAGAGCGGGCGGTTCTGGTTCACTCCTAAAATGCATTTATTTTAGTATTTACACCACTGTTTAATGCTGTGTTGGAGCTTCCACACCGTGCGCAGTAAGTGTATGGTTTTACCAACAGTAACGGGAAAGAGCAACCATAGTTAGTAGTATGCCAGGGTAGCTTTCATAAAAATTACATGTTCTTAGTAGTCGTCTATAGTTAACTGCTTATGTAAAAGCTAGCACTTTTGTCTTTTATCACCGCCTCAATTATCTCTAGTTGTTGAAGAGAACCTCGTCCATCCCTGTGGTTTTCTCTAATTGAATATTAAAAGTGATAACTCACTGTAGTAATGTTAGAAGTATGACCAAATTCAGATGTTTATTTAAAACTTCTCTCCAAAGGGAACTTTTGTTCCTTTTATGTAATGACAGGTACGTGGCTATGTATACTCCCGTTAAGTTGGTGGGAATGTTCAGCCCAAAGTTGAGCATTTGTTTTAATTTATTTTATTTTCATAAAAACTTTACCATGCAAATAGAGACTAGCATTTCTTCTCATGGAGAATCCACACATGTAAAATTGGATGTAGCTATATAGGCAAATTTAATATAATGCCTTTTCTTTTTTAAACTAAACTAGTAGAGAAGGGATGTGTAATTCTGCTGGGAAACAGCAGTAAGAAAAATGAATATAAAAGTGTTTTTATACTGCCTTTGCAAGACCTGTCTTTTCCTAGTAACTATGAGGTAAAGTCTTTTGCTAAACCTCTTAACACAAGAGTGTTGTCTGAAGTTGAAATCGTAATATAATACGTCTCTGACATTGTAGTTGTCCCCTAGTAAAGAAATAGTTTGCAACGGACAGGTGTTTATAAATGTTTGATGTTCCAGAAATAAACTCTTGCTAACAACTGAAAGCAACTGTGAAAGAAAACATGTATGTAACAACATATATAAAATAAATATTTATCATTAATGTAAGAACTAGGTAATCTACCACTCAATAAATGGGGAAATACAAAAGTGTTTAGAAAACAGTGGGTGCTACACAGTGCACAATGGGCATAAATGCAGGCAGTATGTTAAAATTATTCAGGGACAACATCTATCCTTATTCCTAATTAGCTATGTTTATGATGATTTTTTCAAATAATAGTCAAGTGTAGTCAGATCAGTTTCAGTTTACAAATCGCAAAACACAGCCTACACAGGTATAGAAGAAAAACAGAGATTCAGTCAGTAAGTCATTTGAACATTGTTTTTAGATTCTCAGTGAAACCGGATAAATGAAACGATAAACAGGAAGAAAGATGCATTGGTGTACTTTTAATTTATGGAATGCATAGTAGATCTGATATCGTGTGTTAGGTGATACTGTTACATATATACGAACTTTCTATAGAAAGTGAAAACATTACTTTAAAAAGGTATTGTCAAATAATAGGAAAATAACAGTACTCAAGGAAAGTATATGACAAATGCATACCTTTGTATTAGTATGCTAACGTGAAAATGATATAGTCTTGTTTTTAAATAATTTTCATAAATATACTTTGTTTTCTTTTGACTAGGCTTTGAGACAAAACAGCAAATTATCTTGTGTTTAAAGAACTATTGCACAAGTTGTAGATACAACATTTACCAAGAAGAAAACAAAAAGAGGGAGGATGGCAATGGAAAGATAATGGTGGTAAGTAAAGATAAAGGAGGTATTGTAAATTTTGTGATGTAATGAAAACACACACAAACTGACTCTTGCTAGTATAAAACCAAATGTCGCAGTCCAAACTTTTCACTGTAGTTTAGACAGAAACATAATAGTGAACCTGAATACGAGCAGGTAATTATTCCATCTGAACTCATGCTCTGTATGTGGTTGATGTTGTCCTGCATGAAGTAATGTAGTAAGAGTTTGAAAAATTCATTCCCTTTTTTTATCATTCCCTTTTTTACTTTATTGTCTTTCAGAGGGAATGTGTTAATCATGCAGAAAGGAACAATGTATTTTTTGTTTTTCAAATGACAAAAAAAACCCCAAACCCAAACAACAAAGAAGATGGTTAGGGGGTTCCTCAGTTGTTTTTTTTAAAAAAAGTAATATCATATGTGAGATAGTCTTGGTTTATTTAATAATAAAGTAATAATAAGTATTGTCTCAGTGCCCTAAAATTATATAAGTACAATGCAAACTTTCTCTGTGAAATGCATTTTTTTGTGAATGAAATTAAAGAAATATGCTTTTTAAATTGAGATTACGTGTGTGTATGTATTCCTAACATAGTTATATTTCTCCAGGAAAACATGTCCAGGTACTTAACAGTGGCAAAATAACCCACCATTGCATAAAATGATACATGAAAATGTTAGTATTTGTAACTATTTTTTAAGTACTTACATATGCATTATTTATTTATTTATTTATTTTCATATTTAAGTTTTAGACATGAAAATGTGAGATTTAAAAGGTGTAGTTAAAAATCAATGGTAGCATTACATTATCAAGCTTGTAATCCACCGGCCTGTCCTTGGGTTGGGAATGGATCAGAGAAGAGGAACAGGAAAACAGTTATTCATCTGCATTTGCAGTTTATGGTACAGTTGGGACAACAGGTGTGGACCCAAGTTCTGGTGGGAGCTCATTTCTGGTAGCGACACAGCCCTGGCATCCCATTCTGAGCAGCTACTCCTTCACAAAGGGCAGACAGGGCAGGTGTCTCTAGCTGTTGCTAGCTAGAGTCCTTCAGTGACCCGCACCTTTGCTTTCAGTCTGCGTGCCTGATGCTGGGAAGTTCAGAGGACCACAGCAGCACTGCACCCGCACTTAATGAAAACCAGTAGGAGAAGGCGTTTTGAAAGTCAGCCACAGAAATACAGAACAGCTGGGTTGCCCTTCTGAAGGTGGGTACCACGAAGAGTAGAGCCAGGCAGTCATTGGTCCATAAGAGCTAAAAGTTAACATATGTGCCATTTGGAAACTGGGGAGAGGCGATCGTTTTGATGGCAGGCAAAGTAAGTATCTGTACAGTGCCATGAAGAGTAGCGTAGGCCATATGTTAAGGTAAGTAATTGAAAAAGACCGATACTAAATGGGCTTTTCATTGTTTTTAAAGCAATCTGAACTCTCAATGGGATACCTTCTGTTTTTAGGTGGTTTGGTTTTTTAGGCTCTATTCCAGATGTAGATTTGTATAGTTTGATTCTTTGTGAATTGTGTATTTGCATATCAATAACTAAGTACTGGTGTCTAAGCAACATATTACTGTGCTTTAGTAACTTTTTCTATTTTTTCATCAAAAGTGGCAAAACCATGGGTCAGCTGTTCTTATAGCATGATCTATACTAAGGAATGACCTTTTAGTTGTGATGCAAGAGAATTAGAAACTTGTGTGCATAGAAAAGTGGTGGTACAGCATGAACAGGGCTTGTACTCTCTAAAATTTATGCTACATTTTTAATATGACTTTTTTAACTTTTTAAGAGAAAATAATTTTGAATTAAAAGCTGAACTGGGGAAACTCGACCCTGCTCTGAAGAGGAATTGCAAACTGTTCACCACATTTGAATAGCAGAAATAGAAAAAGCATCTTTTTTTTTGCTGGCCTATAGTTTTTTCTCATACTGATTATCATGTTGCACCATCACATAATTTAAATGGAAACATTCAAAACTTAATTTGGACTTGAATTATTCATAGAAGAGCTGATTGTCACAGAGTATTT